AGGGATAATTTTTACTTATAGGAAAATGCTAAAAATATAGAAAAGATAATCAAGGACCATATGCAGAGCCTGATGAGTAATTGATTAGGGTTAAGGATCAATTAGATACTAAAAACTAAACTGTTGAAAAATTGTTAGTGGAAGAGGATATTTTAACAGTCCTTCCAATAACTTCCCACAGATACTATTTAATTATAAAGAATAAAAGTATTGCCATAAGGAAGAAATCTAGGGGAGTCACCTGGCTTATTAAAATCAATCTGGGCTGGTGGAGGCTTGAGTGGTAGAGTGCCTTCCCAGCAAGCATGAGTTCAAACCCCAGCACCACCAACATAAATAAATCTATCAATAAATAAAATAAGATCGATCTTAAATTTACAGGTCACATTGACATTCCATCCATGTGAGAAGATACAGTGGTAACACAATCTCACTCTTATTAATGTTGAATTCAGTGTAAGCATTAGCTCATTATTATTTTTTCTTTTTGCTTTTCATTGTTGCTGATGAAGACTTCATACTAGAGTAGAAGTAACCACACCTCCTTCCTTTTCTTGGTCACTTCCATTTGCATTATAATTAATACCTTGATCTAATTTTTGCAGAGTAAGTTCATTTATGTATTTTGCTACTTTGGCAGTGTAATGTAGTTTTGACTGCCATAATTATATTTTTCATCTCTAGAATTATATTGTCCGTTTTTCAAATCCTTGTGATCATTTTTGACAGCCTTTCACTTCTTAGTCATGTTTATGCTCCATTAAATTTTTGTTGTCAGTGAAGCATATTAATTAACTTAAAAAATTCTAATATTGTTCTATGGTTGTTTTTGCTACCTCTTATTCGTGGCTTATTATTTCCTTCCAGAAAACATTTGTCTTTGGTCTTCTAGGACCACTTTTTGAGTGGGGAAGGGTACAGGGCGGGGTTTGCCTTTTAAGAGGTTGTTGCTGAGATTTTGAATGTTGCTTTCAATAGCTGCACATCCAGAGACTGGTTTCCAACCCTTGCTGAATGTTCCTAAGGAGTAAGTTTGAACTGCTCACAGGTCCTCTCCTGGGCTGTATTTCCAATTCACATCTCAACCTCTATGAGCATGGAGTTAAGTGAGCTCAGCAATCCCAGTAAACACAGACAACACTGTTGAAAGAAATGGTTACCTTAAACAGTTACACAATGTGCAGCACAGTCACAGCAGTGTCAACACACAACCACTTAAATACCTAGACTAATATCAGGTAGTTAAGGAGGTAAAATACAGTAATGAGAATTAGTAGACAACTGAAACCCACAAAAATAAGATGTAAATTCCAGAAAAAGAAAATTACTGAATTATAGTACTCAATGAGGGGGTTTGACTGGATATTGCTGAAGATAGTAAATTTGAATGTAATGTGGCCAAAATATTCAGAACATAGAACAAGCACATAAGAGATCAAATAAATGAAGAAAACATGCCATACTTTCAAAGCAAAATACCACTGATGATTGAATTTCCAGCAGAAACAATTGCACCCAGGAAATGAAGGAATGTCATTGAAGTGTTAAAGGAAGCTAGCCGCCAATCTATAATTCCATCCCCAGCAAAAACGTTCTCTCAGAATTAAAGTATAAACATCACGTTTTTCAGGAGACTTTAAAATTGAGAGAATTTATCACCAGCAAAACTATACTAAAGGAAAATATATAGGGATTTCTAGGGTTTCCTGTCAGGATAAGGAAAATAATAGATGGAAGAATTAGCTCTAACTAGAAGTGAAAAAGTTGCAAATTTAAATTTAAATTTCATCATTCTTAATAACCGAAGGATACTTGCTGTTTTCTCCAAGTAAGCCACAAAGTTGGTAATAAATGACTATATATAAATAATAAATAATTTTAATACTAAATTATTAAGAAGAAAAGTATAATAATAAAATACAGGATAAACATGAAAGTAGCAAAGTAAAAAATCCATACAGATGAAGTCAGTATACAGAATATAGGAGGATGACTGATATAAATTCAAGTTTCTCAGTTATGAAGTATAATGGGCAACGCAATTGCCAGTTTAAGAAGAACTAACTAAATCCAATTGTGTGTTGCTTTCAAAAGAAATACTCTTTATACAAAAGGACATAGACAGATGAAGTTAAAAGTAAGGAAAAAAGATTTATACAAATATGAATCAAAAGTAGTTGTCCTTATATTAATATTGATGAAAGAAACAAGAAAACAGATGTCCTCAGATAGCAGGTGAAGGAAATAAGACATATTCTAGATATGAAGAGGGACATTTCATAATGTTAAAGTCAGTGGTTTGATAAATGTTAAGTCTCTGAATAAAAATGTAAATATATGTACATGTGTATGTGCATAGACTCACTAAATGTTACTGATATGAAGGATCTGGAACACAATTTATGAATGATAATAAAGTATACAAGACCATTTACTGCCAAGTTTCTTCCAGAATAATTTCACTGATTTTTGAAGAAGCCTGTGTCTGTAGTCAGATATAATGTAGCATTGTGACTCAACCATGATTTGATAAACGACACTCTATCTAATTTGTTAGGTCTTTCCAAGTTAAATTTATTATTTTTATACTTGGTATATTAACCACTGTTGAATTATATTCATTAAACCAAACCTTTTCAGCATCAGCCCTATGATAATCAACAAAGCTATAAATCAGACCATGATTTATAGCATTTTGCCCTCTAATAAGTATCCCACTGTAGCTGATTGCACGTGAAATGCAGCACTACTGAATGCTAAGTTGGAAAGATGTGAGCACCAGCAGAACAGTATTTATATAAATAGCTACTAAACATAACCTCAAGATCACAGTTAAAAGTAAAATCACAATCACCTCTCTCTCTCTTTCTCTCTCTCTCTCTCTCTCTCTCTCACATACACACACACACACACACAACTTTGAGAAGTTCATTGTAAGAAAGGAAAAATAGAGGCCAATCATTCATAAATCTAGATGCAAAATCCTAAACAAATGTTAAATGATAAATTAGTGTTATTCACTATAGTAAAAGAAATAAAACTCATATGCTGTCATATAGATGTACATATAAAATAAGAATATTAGCTAAAATTAAACATCCATTTTAAAATTTCCTAGTGCAGTGCTTATCAGTAGAACTTTCTGTGATGACAGAAATGTCCTTTTTTGCTGTCCAGCACACTATCTACCAGCCACATGAGGCTACTGAGCATTTAGAATATGCTCCATGTGACAGAATAGTAGCTACTAATTTTCTTGTTTTAGTAAATTTAAATTTAAGTAGTTACACTTGCTTAGTGATCACCCTTGTATCGAGCAGCTCTACAAGACTTAGTTTTTCATTTCTTCCAAGGAAGTGAAGACATTGAGAAAAGGAACAGGTGCACTAAACCTTTGTGAACTCATGAACAATTACAGAAGTCATTTAACATTTGTGATTTATATGTTAATAGATCTGGTCAGTGCAATTTATTATTAAAGTAAGAAAATAAAAATACTTAAAGAGAAAGCTAAGTTAAGAAGGTATATACTAACTATTTCCTTCAGGTTTGGCTTCATAGTTGTACTGTTCAAATTATATTCAATTTAGAGAAATGATTCATTTATAAACTATTGAATGAGATGTTGATTTCTGTAAATCATAAAAAAACGAGATTCCTGCAATTATGAAGGTAAGAGATCTTTAGACTTTGTAAAGTTGTGTGTTTCAATTGTATTTGATGGCACTCAATATTACCTTAAGTAACACTTAGCATTTCTTTTCAGAATTGTACACATCCGAACTGTTGTGACCCTAAACAATGTAGGCTAAAAGGTAAAGCTGCATGTGGCTCCGGAGAATGTTGCACAAATGCTTGCAAGGTAAGAGGCAATCTGTATTTGATAAGAGCTCTTTGCTTCTATTGATGTGCTGTATTACATTTATAGATTTGCATATGTTGAACAACCCCTGCATTCCTGGGATGAAGCTGACTTGGTCGTGGTGAATAATCTTTCTGATGTGTTGTTGGATTCGGTTTGCCATTATTGGCCTACAGTTCTCCTTTTTGGATATGTCTTTTTTCTGATTTTGGGATGAGTGTTACTGGCTTTGTAGAATGAGGCAGTATTCCTTCCCTTTCTATTTCATGGAAAAGTTTAAGGAGGGTTGGAATTAGTTGTTCTTTAAAGGTCTGATAGAATTCAACAGAGAATCCCTTAGGTCAGAAACTTTCTTTTTGGGAGACTCTTTTTTTTTTTTGGTATTGTTTTATTACTCATATGTGCATACAACGCTTGGGTCATTTCTCCCCCTTCCCCCACCCCCTCCCTTACCACCCACTCTGCCCCATCCCTCTCCCCCACACCCCCTCAATACCCAGCAGAAACTATTTTGCCCTTATCTCTAATTTTGTTGAAGAGAGAATATAAGCAATAATAGGAAGGAACAAGGGTTTTTGCTGGTTGAGATAAGGATAGCTATACAGGGGGTTGACTCACACTAATTTCCTGTGCGTGTGTGTTAGTTTCTAGGTTAATTCTTTTTGATCTAACCTTTTCTCTAGTTCTTGGTCCTTTTGGGAGACTCTTTATTGCTTCTTCAATTTAATTTCATGTTATAAATCTATTTAGGTAGCTAATAACTTCTTGGTTCAATTTTGGATGGCCATAATTATCTCAAAATTTGTCCATTTCTTCAAGATTTTCTAGAATATAGATTCTCAATGTAGTCTCTGATAATTCCCCAGATTTCTGTGGTGTTTGTTGTTATCGCCCCTTTTGTATTTCTGATTTTACTAATTTGGGTTTTTTCTCTCCTCATTTTAGTCAGGTTTGCCAGGGGTCTGTCAATCTTGTTTATTTTTTCAAAGAACCAGCTTTTTGTTTTGTTGATTCTTTGCATGGTTTTTATTATCTCTATTTCATTAATTTCAGCCCTTATTTTTATTTCTCTGCACCTGCTTGTTTTGGGTTTTGCTTGTTCTTGCTTTTCTAGGTGTTTGAGATGTAGCATTAGGTCATTAATTTGAGATCTTCCTGTCCTTTTAATATATGCACTCATGGCTATAAACTGTCCTATTAGGGCTGCCTTTGCTGTGTCCCAGAGGTTCTGGTAGGTTGTTTTCCATTTTCATTTACTTCCAGGAACATTTCAATTTTCTCTTTTATTTCATCAATGACCCACTGATCATTGAGCCGTATATTGTCAGCTTCCAATTGTTTGTGTATATTCTGCTGTTGTTTTTGTTGTTGAGTTCTAGTTTTAATGTATTTTGATCAGATAGAATGCATGGGATTATTTCTGTTTTCTTATATTTGCTGAGGCTTACTTTGTGCCCTAAAATATGATCAGTTTTGGAGAACGGTCCACAGGCTGCTGAGAAGAATGTATATTGTGCAGAAATTGAAGGAAATATTCTGTACACACCAGCTAGGTCCATTTGATCTATGGTGTGATGTAGTTCTAAAATTTCTTTATTGATTATTTTGTTTGGATAACCTATCTATTGGTGATGGGGGAGGTATTAAATTCTCCCACTACCTTTGTGTTGGAGTCTATATGTGCTTTTAAGTCCTTTAGCGTATGTTTGATGAAATTGGGTGCACTGACCTTGGGTGCATAAAGGTTGATAATTGTTATTTCCTTTTGGTGTATTTCTCCTTTTATTAGTACGGAGTGTCCTTGTTTATCTTGTTTGATCACTGTAAGTTTGAAATCTACTTTATCTGAAATAAGTATTGCTACTCCTGCCTGTTTTCAGGGGCCATTGCCTTGGTAAATCTTCTTCCAGCCTTTCACTTTAAGCCAGTGTTTGTTTCTGTCAATGAGCTGGGTCTCCTGTAAACAACAGATTGTTAGATCTTCCTTTTTATCCAGTTTGCCAAGTGGTGTTTTTTGATGAGGGAGTTGAGTCTGTTGACATTCAGTGTTAATATTGATAGGTATGTGGTGATCCCTGTCATTTAGTTGTTTTTGTTTTTTAAGGGTTTGATTGCATGCAGCTGAATCAATGTTACTCTCTGATTTCTTTTCTTCTCCTGTGCTTTGATACTTCCTGTCCTCTTGTGTTTTTGTTTGCTTTCTTTTTCTGTTTGTAGAATTCCTTGGAGAATCTTTTGTAGTAGTGGTTTGGTGGTCATATATTGTTTTAGTTTCTGTTTATCAGGGAAGACTTTTATTGCTCCATCTACTTTGAATGATAGTTTTGCTGGGTAGAGTATCCTAGGGTTGAAGTTATTTTCATTCAGTGCCTGAGTACCTCACTCCATGCCATTCTTGCTTTTAAGATTTCTGTTGAGAAATCTGCTGTGATTTTGATGGGTTTACCTTTGTATGTTATTTGTTTTTTTCTCTTACAGCCTTCAATATTCTTTCTCCATTCTCTGTGCTTGTTTTAATGATAATATGTTGTGGGGAAGTTCTATTTTCGTCAAGTCTGTTTTGTATCCTGGAGGCTTACTGTACCTAAAGAGGCATAACTCCTTTAGATTTGGGAAATTTTTTGTTATTATTTTATTGAATATATTGCAAATTCCTTTTACTTGGACCTCTTCTCCTTCTTCAATGCCCTTGATTCTCAGGTTTGGTCTTTTGGTGGAGTCAGTGAGTTCTTGCATGTAATTTTTGCAGGTCGTGAGTTGTTTGACTAACATTTCTTCAGTTTTTCCTTTAATTTCCCATTTTATTTTCAAGTTGAGATTTTGTCTTCTGCTTGTTCTAGTCTGCTGGAGTGGACTTTCACTGTGTTTTGTGCTTCTGTTTCTTTTTTTTTCTGAGTTTTGCATATCATGGGTCACTTCCTCTTTAATGTTGTCTATTTTCATCTTTAATTCGTTTATTTCTCTATTTATGTTTTCTCTGTTTCACTTTGGTGTTTATTTAGGGCTCCTATGAGTTTATTTGTTCGTTTCTGTTTCTTCTCATATTCTTTATTTTTGGTGTCTTGAAATTTCTTGAGTGCCTCTTGTTTGTTTTGGTTAATTGTGTCTAGAATCATCTAGGGATTGCAGGGGCTTGAGGATGTGTAAAGTTGGTATAGTAGGTTGTTCAGTGGGTGACGAGTGTGAAGGAGGGAGGGGTAGTCTGGTGACAGGTTGGGGGGAGAATGGGAGGGGAAAGTGAGGGTTGGGGAAGAGAATGGGTAAGAAGGGTCAGAATAAGTTGTTGGAGAGGGAGCAATGGGTTTCAGCACAGGAGAAGGAGGGAGAGTGAAGGGGGTGAGAGTAAGATGAGAGGATGATGATGGTAAAGTTGTTAGTATAGAAAGAGAAAAGATAAGAAATAAAAAAAAGATATTAGGAATAAAAGTAAAAATAGAAAACCCACAATAATAAAACTAACAACAACAACAACAAAAGCCAAAGAAATCAATAGGGAGAAACTAACAAACGAACAAAAAAACCTCCAGGTTCAGGAACAATAGAATTTCAGTCTTAGTTCTGGATTTTCTCCTCCAGCATCCAGTCCTGGTGTTGGGATATAAGCAGAAGCTCTATCGTGCTCTCACCAGGTGACTGGCTTATGAGTTTTGTTTTTCTCTTCTGTCTTTCAGCTGCAGCTGCTTGGTCAGCTCCTCCCCCAATGAGGTGTGGTAGTTTAATTTTGTATGCTCCCCTCAGGCTCAGGAGATCAGTTCTAAAGTCCACTAGTTGTTCTACTTTGGAGGTGGCTTTTCTCTGTGCTTGTATACTGGGATTACCATGCTGGGGGCTTATTTCTTTGCCCTGCCCCCTTTCTCTGGGGCAGGGTTAGTGTTCTGTCAGCCCCTGTTACTATCAGTGTGTTATGATGGTTCGCTGTTTGTTTTTCAATTTTGCAGGGCAGTTTGACTTTGGGTGCTGCTTAGTGGCTCAGGAGATGAGATCTGCTACCTGCCCTGCTTCTGGGAGTGGCTTATCACCCACCCACTGTTGGCCTTCCTGCCTTTCCAGTGTTTGTTTACTGATAGTTCTGCTGAGATTAGCTCCTTGCCCCTCTCCCCTTCTCCAGTGCGCTTTTAGTGATCCTATCCCTTCAGCTCTGTGCTAGATTATAGTTCACTGTTTATTGTTCAGTGTTTTTTTGGAGGAATCAGTCTGCCCAGGGGGCTGTGCTGGTTTATCTTGGGGGTCACTGGGGGAATTCTGTGTGACACGTGGCTCTCACCTGTTTGGGCTGCTGAATATCTTGCAGGCAGGTTTGGAGCCAGTGGTGGCAGCTCCCTCAGTGTAATGTGGCATGGAGACACTTTCTACAGGCTAGGGGTTCTGAATGTTGTAGTTTTGATTCTCATTGGTGCTTTATTCCTGCCAAGTGGCTCCAGTGTCTCAGCAAGGTTTTGGAGTCATGGAGCTCATGCTGTCTGCTTCCACATCCTAGTCACCATCTTGGATCCCTTCCTACTCTATGTCTCTTGGTTGGGGCATTGAGACCATTTATATTCAGTGTTAGTATTGAGAGGTGATTGTTGTTTCCAGCCATTTCTTGTCCCCTGTTGTTTAGTTTTAACTATTCCTTGTTTACTGGTCTGCTTGCTCAAAAAGGTTTATTCTTTCTTGAGTCTTCCTGTCTCACTCTAGTTTCTTCTTCTATATGTAAAATTCCTTTAAATATCTCTGTACTGCTGGCTTGGTAGTTGTGAATTCCTTTAGTTTTTCCTCATTGTGGAATGTTTTAATTTCTCCTTCAATCGGGAAGGATAGTTTCGCTGGATAGACTCATGTTGGTGACAGTTGCTTTCTTTTAGGGTCTGAATTACGTCTTTCCATGACCTTCTTGCATTTAGAGCTTGAATTGAGACATCTGCTGTTATTCTAATGGGTTTGCTTTTATATGTGACTGTCTTTTCTTTTGTGACTTTCAGAATTGTTTCTTTGTTCTGTGTGCTGAGTGTTTTGATTATGATGTGTCTGGGGTGTTTCTTTTTTTGGTCCTGATGGTTTGGTGTTCTGTAAGCTTCCTATACCTGGGTGACTCTCCCTTTCTTGATGTTAGGGAAGTTTTCAGTTATTATTCTATTGAATAGATTGTCAATGCCTTAGTTTGTGTCTCTTCATCTTCTTCTATACCCATGATTCATAGATTTGGTGTTTTCATGGTGTCCCAAATATCTTGTATGCTCCATTTATATTTTCTTTGCATTCTTTTATGATCTTTTACTGGTTGGTCTAATTCATCTACTTTGTCTTCCATTCCTGATACTCTGTTTTCAAATTGCTCCACTCTGTTTGCCAAGCTTTCAATTGAGATTTTTTACTTGGGATATTAAGTTGTTTGTTTCAGATTGATTATTGTTCAGGGGTTCAGTGTTGAGCTGTGAGTCTTTCTTTCCATCTTCCATGGTTAGTTGCTTCTCTGTTTGTGGATTTGGAGTGGGCTTTGTTTCTTGCTGATTATGGGTCCCCGATCTTCCTTCTTCAGGGAAGTTAGTTGCTGCTGGGGTATAGGGATGTCAACAGTCTGCCATCTTGCTCCCTTTTACTTATTTTCTTTTAGAAACAGTTTTAATCATTGGTTTTGAGTTGACTGTCAACTGTGTCATGTGGGGACATAAGTAAACTCTCTGATCATTTTTATCCATCACTTGGAGAATTTGTGTGAGCTTTGCTATAGGTAACAAACACTTGCCAACAACACAAGAAAAAGTACAGAAACCTTTGGGAAGATCAATGATATACAGAAGCCTATTTTGGGGAGATCAATGTTGGTTAGCTGGGCCTCTAGGACCTTTGAAAGCTAGAAAATATTTAACTTACTTTGCATTGGATAGTGATGGTTTTGTGGCACTGACCAAAAGAAAAAAAAAGCTCTGAAGATAATGAGAGATGTCTAATTGGAGAATTCATTTTTAAAGTTGTTTATAATATAATGTAGGAAATAAACATTATCATCCATACTCTTAAAATGTATTTTTCTAAATGTTTATGATGTGTTTCTTTTTTAAATTTTTAAATTGATATATAGAGACATTAGAAGTTACTATTTGAACATAGCCACAATGATTTATAACAATTTCTATACTGATTTTTATTTTATTTTATTTTGTTTTCATTTTTCTTTTATTATTCATATGTGCATACAAGGCTTGGTTCATTTCTCCCCCCTGCCCCCACCCCCTCCCTTACCACCCACTCCGCCCCCTCCCTCTCCCCCCCCAATACCCAGCAGAAACTATTTTGCCCTTATTTCTAATTTTGTTGAAGAGAGAGTATAAGCAATAATAGGAAGGAACAAGGGTTTTTGCTAGTTGAGATAAGGATAGCTATACAGGGCATTGACTCACATTGATTTCCTGTGCGTGGGTGTTACCTTCTAGGTTAATTCTTTTTGATCTAACCTTTTCTCTAGTACCTGTTCCCCTTTTCCTATTGGCCTCAGTTGCTTTAAGGTATCTGCTTTAGTTTCTCTGTGTTGAGGGCAACAAATGCTAGCTAGTTTTTTAGGTGTCTTACCTATCCTCACCCTCCCTTGTGTGCTCTCGCTTTTATCATGTGCTCATAGTCCAATCCCCTTGTTGTGTTTGCCCTTGATCCAATGTCCACATATGAGGGAGAACATATGATTTTTGGTCTTTTGGGCCAGGCTAACCTCACTTAGAATGATATTCTCCAATTCCATCCATTTACCAGAAAATGATAACATTTCGTTCTTCTTCATGGCTGCATAGAATTCCATTGTGTCTATACTGATTTTTAAACTCTACTTTCTTTCTCCTGTGGCATCTGATCATCAATCTCCCACAAGAAGTTACCCATTTTTTGATGCATGAAGGCTTCAATCATGTAAACCTCTGTATGGTGCTCTGGTGGGGACAAGAACACTTTATTTTCTTAATGCTTTTAGCAGTTTAGGGAAAAATAGATAGAAATTTGTGTCTTAGAGAAAAAATGAAATATCATTAATAAATAATCCTACCTTATATTCTTCTCTTCTAGTTGAAACCAGCTAATACCCTTTGTCGGAAATCAGTTGATGATGAATGCGACTTTGTTGAGTTTTGCAATGGAAAGGATCCGCACTGTGTACCTGACACACATGCACGAGATGGACATCACTGTGATTCGGGTCAATCCTACTGTTATCAAGGAATTTGTCGTATTTTTGACAAACAGTGTAAAAGATTATTTGGACGTGGTAATCATCATAATTTTTTTCTTAGTCCCTAAAATCTGACTATTCCAATGTCTGTTATTCAATTCTATAGGTCAAAAATGTAACACACTTTGTGAATGATAAAGTCTTACCTACTATTAAAGGAAATCACATACTTTGATTCTGTAAAATAAGAAAAATTCCTGAATTTATATGGAGTTCTAATTTGCAAAAGGAAGTAATCTCAAGTGAAAATGCAGCTTTTCACAATTTTGTAGAATTTGAGGTGGTAGGGTTTACTTTAGACTTAAAGGATTATGGCTAGTCATTGACTAGATGACATCTGATAAGCAAGGGCTTTAGCTAACAACCAGCCTGGTAGGTTTGATAGTTTCCTTTAAATGTACACATTTAAATGTACATACTTGCTTCACAGAAATACACAACTTCCACACATAAGCAGTCAATGTTTAATTTTCAGTCCTATAACTTGATTAAAAAAAGGAAAGGTAATAGCACATAAATTCACCCTCCCACTTCTCTTTGGTTCAGCATTACATATTACCACTAGAGATGCCCAAGTGCTGGAACTTAAGCACAAAGGGCTCAGGGAATTTGTAGTTCTGTTCCAGCAGATGGCAGGTTCCACACAACAGACAAGGAGGGACCCCAAGGCAATTCCAATAGAAAACCTCCTAGCAATCACAGTTCACTCTGATTTAGTAATCGAAAAGCTGAATTCATTTAGAATTCTTGCTTAGACAAGGGAAAAAATACCTAAAGGAAAATCAGCTTCTCATTAAATAAAAAGCAAGAAACAGTGCTAGGCTGAGTCATATTTCAGCCTTATCCCAAAGGAAACACATGCACTTTATATTCATTCATTTATTAAAATACCTTTCCATGTTTTGAGCCAAGTAGAAAAAGTCAACGAGAGTTCTATAGTAACAATACTCATGCAACTACAAACAGACTGAATGCTTAATAGAATGCCCAATGACTTCATTTATAACAATGAAAGACATAACTTTGAAAGTATACTTGAGGAATGTAAAATGCTATTATAGTTATAAAATGTTTTAGATGAGAGACATCAGCATTGGACTAGCTTACCTTCCCTTTAACTAAGAAAGTGAGGTACAGAATATTCTTACAACTTGCCTTGCATCCCACTTAGTGGAGAAATGGATCTGACCACTGATTCCTAACCCATGTCAGTGATCCACCTGCTTATGTAATTGTACTCTGTAGCCTGGCATGACTATTAGAAAACTATACAGAGCCTACATAGAATTTCACCCTACCCTGGCATGATTAAAAGCCAGAGGAAATTTGGTTTGAGAACTGCTGATGATAATAAGTCATGGTTTCCTCAAAGGTTCAGATTGTATGATGTCCAATTGATTGATTTTGGCTTACCCTAGTTAATTGTGAAGTTTATATTCTTCCTTCATTGTATATTAATGTGCTACTCATTCTCATTACTTCAGCCTAGGCAATCCAAGTGTGAGCCCATACTGGCTGCAACATCTTCTTATTGTATAGGCCCTTCACCATCCAGGACCTATTTTCATATATTCTGACACTCTTGAACCCCATTAGACATTCCAGTGATGGGTGAGGCTGGAATATTTTTACATGGAAACATTTTATGGAACTATTTCAGCTCATCTTTATCCCTTCTTGCCCCAGGCATTTAACTGCAGGAGGCCACAGTGATGCTTTGTTTTGATTATTTTTGCTATACACCTCAACTCTGAGAGTAGCAGCCTGTAGGAGTGTTGAGCACTGGGCTTCATGTCACCAAGTGCAGGACACTGAATTTCCTCACTCATAAGCAGAAACACTGAAACACAGGCCTGCTCTGGTAATTAAGTGTGTTTGGAAAGCACTGTAAGTTATAAACCCAAGGAATTAACAACTAAGGCAAAGAGATACATAAAAGTCCACAAAATAAATGCTTTCTGTACAGTGAGTTTTGAGCTGCAAAAAGGTAAGGCAACAAACAAAACAACCCCCTCCCCCAAATAAAACAACAAACAGGTATACACAAAAATATCCAAACCAAGATGCAAAACAGAAACCAAAAACAAACAAATAAAAACCAGTCCTTAATGTTTCCTTGGCCCTACTGTGTGAAAAACACATCCTCTTTCCTAGAAGCAATTCCTAAAGCACTCCTATGTCAGGTCATTGCAGTTCTCCATGTCATCAGCCTTTGGCATTTTCTGTGTACCCCAAAATTTCAGGAGCCACTGCAAATTCCAATACAGATGTGAAGTCAAGGGTCTGCCCTAAAATGTAACAAATAATTTTGGTCATGTGGCTTTCTTAAATTGTGTGTTCGGGTTCTGTGTAGACCTCAAGTCAAAGCCCACGAAATAGAAGCAAAAATTTGATAGGTCCAAATCTCCCTTTCTGGCCCCTAGGAGAATTAGGGAACTGAAGCCATGTCCACCTGTGGTGAGGACAATGCAAATCCTGACCAGGACTGGATCTGTCAAGGCTGAGAGGCTTCAGGAACCAAAAAACAAAAGAAAAACCAGGCTACAATATCTGTCATTCCAAGCTTCAAAAATAAGTTGAACAGGACAGCAGAGAGAGGCTGTTGGTTTTTCTAGAGTAGTGGAAACACTCGGAAACATTTTGCATTTGGCTGCTTTTGCTAAAAGCAAATGCTCTTGTCAGTCTAGGTGAGGGCTGCATGGCATTACGCAGACAAGGCCACCTGGGCCTGGTCAGGGAATCACTGACTGATTGGTGAAAAGCAAGTTGTAAATCAAATGACCTGTCCCTCTCCAAACATTTAGTGTTTTGTTCATTATGAATGCTTCTTGCATTAATTTTAATTTAAAAATATTGCAGGAAGGCATTATTTATTTTGATTATTGAGTTTTTGCTCTTTCTCCCTTAAATTTTTTGCCATCCCAATTCTGGCCCAGATTACAATTGGGAACTGGGAAATTTAAATTAGATTTAATCAAGGTTGCATTTTGATTGAAGCAAAGCAAAAAGAAGTCCTTTACTTATTGTGTGAGTTCAAGAGCAGCCTTTTCAAAAAAGGAATTGCTGGTGGTGCTGGATTGCCTTCACAGATCTATTTTGACGTGTTTTGTAGCATCCTCCACGTGTGTAGATTATTACATTTCTGGGTCAAAACATAGATTAATTCATTCAAGTAAATTGTGAAAGTAAAAAAAAAACAATAAGAGTAAACTGTGAAATTGTTGGAGGACTCAGTTGTCAATTAAAGGTGTTAGCGATACATTCAGCAAAATTACGGGTGAGCTTTTATACATGTTTGATTTTTTTCCCTAAATTTTAAATTAGACATAACTAAACATGTCAAAAGGCTAAAGCAGATGAATTTTAAAATTCAATATTCCTCACCCAACAATTATTAGACTACTGAGGAACAGGATAAGGACCACAGTATGGCATAGGAGTTAAATCAAATGCTCTTTGAGCTGGTTATCAGTATTGCACTCTGGATACTATTTCCTTATTAATAAGAGTAAATTTCATAATATCTAGGGAACTAAGACATAAAGAGAACAATTTAGATGAAACAAAGAGGGCCATGGTTGTTTATTTTTCTTAAAATGAAGACCATGCCTGATAATGTTGCCATTTCCTTTGTGTCTGACACAGAACAAAGTCGACCGGCACGGTTAGAATTGGAAGCTCACTCTAAATCAGCTCTGCATCCTCAGCAAATTTTTAATGCTGGAGTGCTACTGACTTCCTTAGGGATCACATGATAATTTCCAGACTGGATCTATTATTTCTGTCATGTAATTTGGATTCTGTATTGTAATTTATTTAAGTTGTTATTGTTTTTCTCATTTTTAGAGGCTATAGGTGGCTCCTTTCATTGTTACCAGGAAATTAATACCAGAAAAGATATATTTGGAAACTGTGGTTCAGCATACTGTCCGCTACCGTATGTATTTAGAAAGTTAGAATTTTATTTGGAATGTGGGTTAGATTTCTAAAATCCTAGAATGTATTCTGCACACAGCAAAATGGCATATTTTCCAGGTTTTCTTTGTAAAAAAAAAAAAAGTGTTGTCCACTGCCTATAACATATGTTTATATGTTAACATAATAGGCCTATTATGGTAAAGAAGCAGTGATCAAAGCATAGCCTTTATATATGGTTGTGATGAACTAGACATTAGGTTAGATAGTTTATATGCAATATATGTTTATGATATATATCTTAAATAAATATCTAAATGTAAATTGTGTAGAGAAAGAATTACTTCATTTTACTTATGAAAGAATTTAAAATCCATGGTCATAGGGAAGAAAAGGGCTGCCAGATTCATTAATTTTTCACTTGCTGAATTGCCTCCTACAACAGAGTCATATTGTAGATTGTGCTAAAATTTTTTTACTGAGAGAAAATTGCTAAAACTTGGATTTAAATTAGTGAAACTTTAAAAAATTTGCCTATATACTAAACAAATTAAGAATAAACTGTATTTTCTGTTAGAGAATGAAAAATATTGAAACAATCCATTTATATATGGATATAATATAATGCACTGTAGTATAAGCAGTTGAATGTTAGAGGAGAATGGTGATAGAGAAAGAGCAAGTAATGGGGAGGTTAATTTGATTAAAACATGGTATTTATAGGCCTGAAGTACCAAGATGAAGCCCTCTTGGTCTATTAATATTCACATAAAAAATGAAAGGTAGGAAGGTGAAACAGGTCTTTTCTGGGGATGAGTCCAGTAGGAGGGAGTGGGTATAAGGAAAGGGGGAATTGGGAGGAATATGGTGGATGTATTTTGTATACATATATGAAAGTAGAATAATGAAACCTGTTGAAATTCTAATAAAGGGGGAGAAGAGGGTGAATGATGGAAGGGGTAAATCTAAGTAAGGTATATTGTAAGCACATATGTAAATATCAAAGTGCATCCTTCTGTACAAATATTATATGCTAAAAATTAAAAAGAATAATTAACTATATTTTCACATTAGATAACGAACTAAGACAGAAGGTAAAAACATATCTCTATCAATGTATA